GCGGTGGGGCTGGAGGCAGTTCGGGTGAGTGGCCCTCCCCTGCGCAGCCTGGGCTGGGGTGGGTGATTGCTGCACTCCTCTCCCGATGAGCCCGGCAGCCCAGGCACGTCCCCCCGCCCTCCCTCCCATGTCGGCCCAGCCGCGCTCCCTAGTGCAGTGGGGAGGTGGGGGGCAGCAGGAGGTGCCTGTTTCTCCACTGCACCCCTGCGCTCCCCTCTGCTTCTGGCCGGTGTGGGAGGGATCCCCTCGCTGGTACCGCTCCCCGCGCGCTGATGCCAAGGGAGCTTCTCTCCCATGCAGCCCCTGGACAAAGGCCCCTCCGGCCTCCCTGGTGACCTAGAGAGGGAGGAGGATGGTCGCCCCGGGATCCCCAGCTGTGTCTGTCTGTCTACAGAGCCACTGTCCTTCCAGGTTCAAGCCCCAAAGCCATACACAGTGTCTCCATCAGCATCCCCGCTGGCTCCCGCTGCTGCCCAGGCGGGGCTGGTCTCCGGCTGAGCAAGAGGAGGGAGGAGATGTCTCCCTTTGGTTTTGGGCCAAGCCTGCAGCTGAGCGCTGGAACCCCAAGGCTTTGGACGCTGCTGTGGAACGTCTCTGTCACTTGTGTATAAAATGTACATTGGAAATATTTATATGGACACTCTGTATATAGGGTTTCTTTGCCATGAGTTGCCCTGTGTGTGTTACCTGCAGCGAAGGAGATAAAGGCCAATAAAGCAACCCACCCCCTGCCAGCCCAGCTTGTCCGTGTGCTGCCTTGTGGGCCACCTGTGCAGCCTCTGGTCTGCTGCTTGCCCATGCCACAGGGGCTGGTGGGTTCCATCCCAGATCGACAGACACCCCTTCCTCCTCCATCACTGGGGCTGGTAACAGCAGTCCTGGGCTGACCTGGGCCCCTAGGTGGGCATGGCAGAGTGCTGGGATGGGGCAGGAGGATGGGTCAACCCCCGCCACTGTGGGACAGGACAGGGACGTGGCCACAGAGGGATGCGTGGCTTTGGCGGGACCAGAGGTGGGCACAGCAGGGGGGGGGGGCTGGACCAGGG